ACTTTTTTTTAACAGGAATTCTTAAATTCATGAATATTTTCACAAGAAGTAAACAAAAGTAAATGAAAGTAATTTGAAGAGTTTTCAGCAAGCAAACAAGCAAACAAGCAAACAAGCAAGCAAGCAAGCAAACAAGCAAACAAGCAAACAAGGAAGGAAGAGGGAGAAAATAACAACTGAAGAAAGGAAGGGGACAAAACTTAACAAAATATTGCCACTATTAACATAGTAAATATAGTTTCTTTCAGCACCTAGAGTTATGCCGACGTATTATCTATTATTCATATCGGTTGTACCTGTTGCAACACATTCCTGGACCCTTGGCTTAGTACTACAAGATCCAGCACAACGGTGCATCATAACATTGAAGGGATAATGAAACCCTTGATGATGGCTTGGCTGTGGAACTTCAATGACTGTTGGATACGGTTTACACGGCGCATCATCGAGAGCTATAGGGGGGCTGGTGTCGTCAAAGAAAGAAACCACTCGCGTGCGGCCAACTGCGACTAAAAGACGAGAATAACATTTACAAAACACACAAAATATAACGCGCGTTCAATTGAGACTATTTTCTTTCTGTAGGCTTGTGCGAGAGGGTAAATAGGTAGGTAGATGCGAGTACGTTGGTGAGCTCACATATCTCACTAAATACAATAGGGACTTTTAGATTTTTAAAAGTGTAAGGTAAGGTAAATACTCCTTCTCTCCTAATATACCCGTGAAATGGTCAATACTGAGTATACATTGAGAGTCTTCCTATTTACAAATACCTTGTTTAGCAAACATGCAAACAGACAGTACATTCATTTCTGCGATTTTTTTTAGTTTTGAAAGTATTTGAGTACGAAATCCAGGATTTCACTTTCGGAGGTGGTGGGTACTACTGGGTATCCCAACCCCTCCCCTGTAAATCGGGTTTCGTCAGATGACAATTGTTTTGAACTTATTCCAAAGGCTAGCTATGATTTTATTGATATTACTACTTACCAGTCTTCAACTTGGCGTTTTGGGTAGATTTCTTATTCAATAAGGACTCCCATCCATTTTGCTGTTTACGTGGTGGTGGTGGTTGTAAAGTAATGTTCCCTAGGTTAAAGGCCGTCATGAATGTGTCGAGGCTGTTGACATTGGCCATGATACGCTTCAAGTCTGGTGGCAAGATCTTTAAAAACAATAGCCATATTGAAGGGCGAATCCAGGAATCGAAAAAAGAAAGTGGGGATCGAGAGACCATGACTCTCACGGTCTCTTGGTTGGGTTTAAACCTGCGACCCTAGGCTTGAACTACACAGCGGTCAATCTTCTACACAGAGCCTTTTCGACGAGCTTGCGCAGTAAGAAAAAAGGACCCTGGGTACGAGATTGCACAGCGGTGAGAGACAGCGCGCGCCGTATAAGCGCATGCGCAACCGAAACTTATCAACAATGCACTCCGCAGTCCAGTGTCCATTTTATTTTTCCAGAGGAACGTTTGCATGATAATCGAGGGGAATTTTTTGCCGAAAAAAATTCCCGCAATGAGCTGATAAGCCGCGTATTATGTACTGATAAGAGTAGAGAGCAACTTGACCTCTATCACGTGGGGCGCCCAAGGTCTTTCTGCTGAATACTAACATGACTGTGAATTAAAATCGTCAGCGTTGCCTCTCTTCTGCCAGTTGAACAGGGTTCTTTATGGGTGACATGAAATTACATATATACTAATACCTAGTCAGATTTTTGTTCAGTTTTTCGTATTTCTTGTTCGTAATTTTGCTTTTCCTTTCAATTTCGTTTTTCGTTTTTCACTTTTATTTTAAAGATATGTCTTTCTTTTGGAATGAGACTATCACTAGACGAATATCGAAGAAAACAGAAGAAATTCAAACAACGCAAATAAAACAATAGTTACACAAAAGCTACCTATAAATAGATAAAACATCAGCACGACAAAAACAAAATGCAAAGTTTGTCTATTGAACCGAAGAAAACAGCAACCCATTTCCGTCTTCACGATTAAGTTCCGGTCCTTCAGGGGTCCCGTCATATGTAGCTATTTCCGTTGTCAGTCTTTTTTGTGTGTATCCATCCAAGCTAGGGTTAAACCAAGCCTACACTCTGTATCTAAAAATCTCACATCAGAAAGCTCTTTTTTCCCCTTAGTGTTGATAATGACATAAAGGTCGGTCATAAGTAAGCAGATCAAAAGAATTCAATCAGTGAACATGTGCACATGAAGTTATTTGCCAATACTTAGAGTCCGCGTGGAAAAGAGTACTTCTTTTTATACTAATGGATCTAATGTATGTTAACTAAAAAGACAAACCTAACCTTTTTTTAAAGGTTTAAATTTCATGAGAGAAAAAGTGATAAAACTCTTTACGTACTTGCATGGAAATCTAGAGGAAGCTTTAGCAAGCAACGGCTTAAAATTCAAAAGCGTCACTTCAACTGTAAAACGCATTCATGTGAATCGGTAGTAAATACCTCATGGAAATCAGACTCGTGGCTTACGATGGACATCGATTAACTAACAGATATCACATCCTTAGCTAGGTTAATCTTTTTCAACCACGAAATAAAAAAATTTAATAAATTTTACGACAGAGGTCAAAATACAACTGCGCGAAGATGAGAACTGAGCCGATGAACTAGATTTAAAAACACATACAATCAAGGATTGTTTACTAAAACAAATTTGGAACTTACCATTCCACTAGTGGCTAATGTTGACAAAACAACAACCCACAAACATGCATATATCTTAGACATATTCCTTCCTCTATGGATAGTAAGCTTGTAAACGTTCTGTGAGCTAATCTTGTTTTCAACTGAGAGTTGATAAACGTAAGTTAAATGCTGAAAAGCGATACCTCATGGGATTAACCAATCGTGGCCAGGCGTGATTTGAGTGCTTCCGGTCATTAGTGATAAGTTTAAAACAATAATAAGTGTGAAAAAATGAACAATTAACGTCCTGAAGCATTGTGCTTTGTACTTCTGAGCCAAACAGGAAACAGCACTCCCTGTCGCTTCGGAGTTTGTACGAATTCAATTGCTTATAGGAAAATGAAATTTAGAGAGCTGAGCATTGGCTGAAATTGGCTTTCACTTTGCTAAAGAAAACCTGTTGATGATTTTCTAAAGCTAAGTTTATAGGCCGTCGTTAATTGATCCATCGCCTCATATGATATTTATTACAAGATAAAAATACCTCTACTCCAAGCTACAGCTATGATAATCTTATCTAAAGAGAGTGTGACAAAGAAAAGAAGAACTCAATTTAAAACAATCTGAGAAACGGGTGAAAGTGAAAGTCTAATAATCTGCAGTGTGCAGCGTGACTTGCGAAACAATGGAAAGAAGAAAAAAATACCGAGCTGAGAAAAATCTGTCTGATAACTAAGAAACCAAAACTAGCGCTGCAGTCGGACAAGACTACAATAGAATGCAGAGCTTTGTTACGGTAATTCTTAGACAAGACGGAAGGCAAGCATGAAATCAAAGAAAGTGAAAACAGGAAACGAAAAAGCTAAAGCAAGGAATAACACCGTGTGGTACTACATTAAGTGAAAGAGAAGATTTAGTTGCAAAGAAAAGTTTGGTTTGAGGAAAGATTAAAGAAAAAGATAGGACTGAAGGAGGCAGAATGGCAGTTGCAATCAGTAGATCTGTTAGGCTGATCAAACGTAATGAAGAAATTAGTGAAAGATGAATGACCATGTAAGACACGAGGGCCAAGAGCCGGCGATGGAAGGTAGTATAGGCAGGCATAGCCGGGAAGAGAAGAAGGGGGTGATGGCAACAGATCAGAGTTAAAAAAAGGAAGGAAAGGCATATAAAAGTGAAAGGAAAGTAAAGGCAAGCAGGATGGCCGCCATAACAGTAAATGCAGCATATACAATAATCAATGAGACAAGCTAAACAGGAGGAAACAACGGAGCAAAGGCGGTGACGAGCGCACCGTAAGAACTGCAAGCAATCTCTATGATCCCTTTGGAATTTATTTCCGTCACTTCAGTGTGCTATTAATATAACATGCATACAGTCCCTTGACTAAACGTTGTCGTTTGATCGGCTTCATCCCTACGCGCCTAGACCGAAAAGGATCATGGGGATAATTAATTCACAGTTACTAGCTGCCGCACATGTTATCTAACACGTCTTGAGCTCGCTTTTTTCGGTCCCATTTAATTTGCTGAAACCATGCCTCGAGCATACGGCGAAGATTTAAACTGGCGAGCAGTTTGGATCATAAGGAGCCAGAGCCACTTGGATACCGACACAAATGCAGGAAATTTTCCCGCATTCCTCGAATTCCTATTGACGGTTCCAGGATTATTAACCACTAGAGGCGACAAAATTATGGCAAGTAGCTGTCAACGAATTGTTTGTTTTAATCCTATATTTTGAAGGCGATTCAAAACAGTATGCCTTTTTATTATGCGATATTTAACATATATAAACATTTATCGATCAATTCATAACAGTAACATTAAATAATAATACATTTGAAAGTTCGAGGATTCATCCTTTTTAGTCGATACCAACGGCAAAAAATGTCAGCATTAGTTTTCAGACACCAGTATCCTCAGTTTTGAAATGAACCGAAAACCTTAGGCTGGTCTCCTCGTTTAAAATAATTTGACAAACTTGTAGTTTACGAACAGGACTTTTTAGAGACGTGCACTCAGACTGAGTGTTTAGAATTCGTGTGAACTACYAAAATACGTGTTTTACACTAAAACGTTTGCTAATTATTAATTAATTGAGAAACTAGAGTTTGCGACATGATTGTAACAAGTTGCAAACGTCCTTCCCTGTAGGTCTTTGGTCTGGACTCTTTTCTCAGCACTTTCTATAGAGAGATTGAAATTGACAAATTYGAAGTTCTTTGATCACGTATGAATCTTTAAAGATACAACCAAGAGAGAAAATGTCACTGGCCTTACTTTTTTCTGACTCTGGGGCAAGGTGTCTTGGTTTGCTGGCATTGTTGGAGGTTTACGTCCACACCATTTATAACCTCTATGATGCTTCTAATCTTCTTCTCTTCAAGAAGTAAAGTCTTGGGGTTTTGCCTAAGTATCCCAGCAAGGATACAAAAACTGGTGCCAACGTAGACTTCATCCTTTCGATAACCTCCTCTTTGTTGGCCTCCGTCAAATACATGATGGTCTATTTGCGCGCCATTTTCGTCTTTAAGATCCTGGAGTCGTATCTTCCTGATTTCTTTAGGAAATTTGCTAGCAAAAGCAGCCCCCTCAAACCTTTTTGGTGACTGACCACATATCCTGGTATTTAGTGYCCACCAGTTTTTATGGGGTTCGAGCAATAGATTATAAACTGTCGTAATCAATTGTGGACGAAGCACTCTGATCTGAAGTCATCACGGTCTTATGACTCGAGTTGCAAGACAGTATAGGATTATATATTTTCAAAAATTGCGCGCTTGTCGAACTTTGTTTGACACTAAACATATATACACGGTAAAGAATATAAAACAGCAAACAACGTTATTGAATTTCAAAGCCCTGTTGACATAACCTAATGGGATGATAATTTGATCCATAGCAACAGCTTCATCATGCTAAGGTGAAAGAAAAGTGGTTCTGGCTCCTTATGACGCAAGTTTAGTGTCATTTACCCGTTATCCTTTTCGGTCTAGGCGCGTAGGGATGATCCGATCAACGACAACGTTTAGTCAAAAGACTGTATCGTCCTGGCTACACTCTATATCTAAGTTACGACAAACACTTTATTCAGATCATTTCAATTTTTGTTTATTATAATGTATCGGGATCACACATGAATGAGTTACATTCTTATTTACTTCTTGCGTGCTATTTGATTCTTGTTGACACCCCTATACTGAACCTTGAATCCCTTACGTACTCTTCCCGTCGTAATCCAGTTAGTCTTGAATCGCAACCACATGTAGTTAAGGCATTCAAACGGCTTTATCGATGTCCCCAAACCTGACCACTCGTAGGTAAGATCCTTAGTCACCTCTCTACCAAAGCTGATTGCCAAGAAGTCGTGGTGATCTTCTGTATCGAACTCTAGTAGAGACATCATTATCCTGTCGTTGGGTCTAGCGATCAGCCATACACAGTCCAAGTTGTTGTCGTAGGGGTTTGGGTATTTTGGGGAAGTGATGACTCCTTTAGGATCTAATAGTGTTCCTCCACAGTTCATGTCTGTGAATTCGAAAGTGTATTTATTTATTGAGAAAAGAATTAATTAGTTTTGGGGTCAAGATTGCGGATAATAATTCCAGACCACAGGGTCATTCGAATCCCTATTATCAAAACTTCTCTTTAATGATTTCGTTTAACACGCATCTTTGTACATTCCCTGGTGATGGGATAAAGACCCGAAAGCTTGGGTAATAAATAGTAATGCGTAGAAAGCATATATAATGATATGATTCTTTGATTCCTTTTATCGATGGTCATGCTTGAACAGATATTACTTGATTTAGAGAAAGAGGAAATACCTTACGCGCAAGCTGAAGGAGTACTGATCAAGACGCTGAATGAATTAAGAAACGCCGGCTCTGACAAAATGAGAACCGGAAGCCAAAGCAAGGAAAGGAAAGCAGAAAAAAGGAAATCCTGGTAACCAGGAAAAGCAATCAGAAAGTCATCCGATAAGGAAGGTTAGTGAAAGTTAGTGAAGGAGGTGCTCGGTCTAATCGGTATTATTACGCTACGACTAATAAAAAGGGTATAGACATTTAGCAGACAAGGAAGAAAACAGGAAGTGAAGGGGTTGGAAGAGCATGCGCATAAAGGAAGACAGACAGACAGGCGGACGGCAGAGTCAGGCAATCAGGTCATCAGGTGGACATGCAGACAGGCGGACAGTGGCAACACGAATTAACGGGAAGAAGGTACGTAGAGAAGAGTCAGGCAGGCAGACAGGCAAACAGAGCAGACTCAAGCAGACAGGTATCTATATATGAAGACAGGTGGAACGTGGCAAAAAGAAAAGAAGGCATGGAGGCAGTATCGGTGGGAGTGCATAGAAGGATGCACGCAGAGTCAAAATCAGGCAAGTAGACAGGTAGACAGGCTGGCAGACAAGAGATACAATGGATATACAGGGAAACACCCCCTCCCAAAATATAGCTGAGATAACCTTTAACTTATTCAAAATAAAGTAACTCTTCCTTAATTTTTCTACAACAAAATATCATCTTACCAATCTGCGTGTAGTCGACCTTGAATCCCTTCATCGCCGTCTGCCCATCGGAAATGAATCGTAGCCGAAGACTATTCCCCGAGGAAGTGAATGGCCCAGGCATATTAGTTGTTCCGTCAAAATAAATCGTTGGCGTTTTTTGGTTGGTGTCGTAAATCATTAGCAGATCTTTTCCTAGTTCAGTCTTGAAGTCTTTGAAGTTTAAGCGGACTTTCTTGTCTACAGGGACGCGTATCTCCCATGTGCAGTACTCGTTGTTGTCATAATCTGATGGATAGTTTGGAGAGGTAATCGTTCCGGTTGGTCCGACGCGTAGTCTACCGCAACTCGTGGCTGAATTACATTGATTTAGTTTAAGAAAGAAGAAATAAATAATTGAATAAAATTAAAAACATAACTTAGATCTGAGTTGATAAGGAGAGGAGAGGATTTTTTTTTTTTTTTTTTAATCCAATCGTAAATTCATTCTTGACATTTTTGTGGGGTTTTTTTGCATTCC